GAGCACACGAAGCCCCAGGGCGCAGGTACCGGTCTCTTCAGAGCTGGCGGCAACAGCCAAGGAACCAGGGTGGGCGCTGTGTCCTTGGGAGGGAGAGCTGCTCCCTGGACAGCTCCTGATGCATCTTCAGCGCTCAGGTGAAGCTGCTGCAGCAGCTCCCTCCCATCCCACAGCCCTGAGCAGAGCTCCAGGCAGGGTTGCCCTCAGCAGGGCTCAGCTCCCACTGCCTGCAGGGCACCTCTCAGGGTGTTTGGCCACAGCCATGTCTTGGGCACCTACTGAAGCAAGGGGTGATCCTTCTATTTGCCCAAGCAGGTTGTCTGTCTGCAGCCTTCTGCTGACCAGAGTGTTCCCTGAGGTGCAGCAGCAACACAGTGCCCTTCCCAAGCCACAGCCAGGAGCGTGAGGAGTCTCAGACCCACAAGAAGTCATCCTCTTCCCACTTGCCAGGGCTGTATTTGTCAACACCACGATAAGCTCTCTGCAGAGGCAGCAACCAGGAGTCTCTCACCACACCAGCAGCAGCCCTGCCATGGAGCTCAGAGCTCTCCTGCCTTCCCCCTGCTCCCCCAGCTGCCTCTACTGCAGACACAGGGGCCAGAGCTCTCTCTGAAAGCCCTATGTTACAGAAGTGCTTCTGCACCATAATCCCCAGCAGATCCCCCTTGCCCAACCCTTTGGTCACAGCATCCCACTGGCCCCTTGTCTATGTGTTACACAATGCTTCTGGTGGCTTCACCTTCCCGCTGTGTTGCAAAGGGCCCTGATCCAACTCCTCCCAGTGACAACTACTCTGGGGGGGTTACAGCTTCTGCCAAAAGTGTAGAAACCTGCAAGCTTGCCACTGACCCCTGACATAGCCTGGAGCCTAAACACAACACGAGCACACAGAGATCTGAGCATGACTGCTGCAGCCCTCCCCACACCAGGCACTCCCTCTTTAGCAGATTCCATCAAACAGTCACCGTGCCCCAGAACAAGAGCAGCCTCTTACACGTACCTGGGTGTAAGAGTCAGCATCATCACCCCGATGTAGCGGCGCTTTGCCTCTGTGTTCCCAAACCAAGAGCCTGTCAAAGGAAAGGACACGAAATGACCCACGTGCACTGGGAGCAGTGCTGGGCTGTCACAGAGACCACGTGCCCCACGGCAGACGGTGTGTGTGGGGTCAGTCTGATGCCCGACCAACACCTCATCTAAGCTCCATTCGCCAGGTGGAGTTTTATGTCAGTGCAACTGTGCTGCTTTGAGCTGTCGGGTTTTTTTTGACTGAGAATATCCCTCCACAGTGTCAACATGAGAACCAGGCAGCCAGACGCTGTGTTACAGGCAGCATCACAGAGCATCAAAGCCAGGCAACATTCTACACCACTGAAATAACTGCCTGTCCTTTCTGGCAGGCGCCTGCATCTCCATCAGCACACATGAGGTAATGGAAAATGCAGAAGGAGTTTCATGGCAGGTGGGAGAATCTTCTTGCCCCCAGAGACTCTTTTCCTGCTCTGCTTACCCTGCTCAGAAGTGCCTGGAGCCCAGCGGTGCCAGAGCTTCCCTTCCCTCCCCAGTACCCGAGCAGGAGGCACCCCACTCACTTTTGCGGTGCTCCTCCTTTTGCAGGAACTTCCGCAGCCGGTCAGAGGGGATGGCAAAGGAGATGCCTGATGTCACCTTCATGGTGTTCACCCCAATCACTTCGCCGTCCTGCAGGGGAGCAGGCACTGTGCCATCCCGCTGCACCCTCATGGAGAGGGCAACCGCTGTGCAAGCCTGGAGCACTGTCTGTGTGCCCATCCCTTCCCCGCCTGCTGCTTCTGCAGCCTGCCCGGCCTTGCCGAGCTGGGCAGGGACCAGTCCCATGGCTGCAGCCACACAGCCCTTCCCTGAGCCCTGCCAGTAACAGCCAAGCTACACACACCAGGAAGGGCTCAGCTGTGCCACGCGAGTCCCATGGGCTCAGGCTCCCTCAAACAGGCACCGCACAGGGCACAGCCCCGGCTCCTCCTCACAAGGAGCCTGGAGCACACAGTCCCCTCCTCCCAGCAGCTGCAGCACCCACACGTGCTCCCACAGAGGCACACACTGAGGGCACCCGGCACTGCTGCCCCAGCCAAGCCTGCACCAGGAACTTACCAAGTTGACGAGGGGGCCCCCGGAGTTCCCAAACTGCAGCAGAGGAGAGAGCAGTAAAGAGGCCATAAAGCAACATCCTCACACAGCAGGAGCCGAGGCAAGGAGGCAGGGTCCAGAGAGCAGGGTCAGGCTGAGGAACGCAGCCAGCACCTGGGTGACTGGCCAGAATCCCTCCATCCCCCAGTGCTTTCAGCCTCCTCTGACCTCACGGCACCCACAGCCCTTTCCCAGCTCCCCCCTCCCCAAAGAGGGCAGTGGGATGAGGTGCCAGCCCACTGAGCTCCCCTTACATCGATGGCAGCGTCCGTCTGGATGTACTCCATG